AGAAACAAAGAGAAAATGGTTGCAGGCTATAGATCTGACAAAGGACTAGCATCTAGAATACGTAAAGAATTCTCAAAATGTCAACAGTAAAAAAAAAAAATTAGTCTTCCTTTCTATCTTTGGTTTGAAAATCATCTCTACAAGCGTTAAGGATCGCAGACGAGGACATCCCCTGTTAAGAATATGTAATAGAGGACAATGCTAGTCTGGTCGAGAGAACGTTCTCTGCAAGCCAACAGCAAGCTTTGCGAACATGCTTGCAACGTCAGAATCACGCCATTCGCTTGACAGTCGTCTGTGTGGACTTCACGTTGGCTTTCGAAACAAAAACCCAGAGAAGGACCACCATGCGATCCATCCTTACAACCCTTTTCTCTTTGTTGTCTTTCAAGCCATATGTTAAGCCATTTGGAACTATCTTAAATGGATTTTACCTGCCCAGACCACACGGTCATGTGATGCTAAAGAGTCCTCTCTGCATTCGCGTAACTTCGTGCTAAATCCTGGGAAGAGCCTGGTGCCCACATGGAGCACCATTAGCTTGAGAAGCTTCTGCTTGTCTGCAGGGCCACCCAGCCTTTCCGTGACCACAGCGCCTCTTCTCCAAGCGCTTGGCCCCAGGAGGTGCTCCATAGTGAACCATGGAGCCAACCACCCTCTTCTATTATGTTAGGGTATTTCAAACTAAATTTTGTCCTCCTTCACAAGGATGGAAAAGTGAGTGAATTTCCAGAGGCTGGTATCAGGAATAAAGGTGTCATCGTGGAAATGTCCGTACTGAGCATCCTCTGTGTCCACTGAAGGACAGCGAGAGAGGAAGATAAGAAGCTTCGAGCTGTAGGGACAGGAGCTCTAACCCAGGAAACGGAGACCCCAAAGATAGACTCCCTGCAATTGTACATAAACTTTTACATGAAAGCGTATCACTCTAAGAAGAAGGTGTGTGAGGTTTTTTTCATGTTTCCTCCTATCTAAAAAGCTCAAAAATCACCACTTCCAGAAAGGACATCGTTGGTTATGCAGAAGGGCCAAGGAAAGCGCTGCTGGTTCAGAAAAGAGCGGGGATCCACCAGCCCTGGAGACAACGGAGGAGGCTTCCCCGAGAACATGGCCTGTCAGCAGCCTTTCAGGAGCTCACGCTCATAGCCCAGGTCTGCCTGGGTCTCCCCATCCCTGGGGTGGGGGAACCACAACAGCCTCGTGGCCGCCACTGCCTCCTCCCGTCCTGCCATTCTGCCACCTGTCACCCAGCCCAGCAGCCAGCGACCTGATGAAACCAGGACTCCGATCAGCACCCAAACAGCGCTTGGGGCTCAAGAGCTGGGCGGTAGTTCTTTCCAAAGGAATGCTGGATGTTCACCTGAAGGTGCTGGGAGGAGGTAGTGGGATACAAAGATGCACCAGATGCTAGAGACATCAAGAAGGGTGACTGGCCTGGGCTGGGTGTTGGAGGACGAGAGGGAGGTCAGGAGTCGAGGTGGATGCCAAGTGTCTTTGCTGAGATGCCACAGAGGATGAGGTACAGAAAGACAGGAGCTGGCTTCAGAATGACACAGATTGGAGGGTGGGACACCCACGCGGATGCATCACATGGTTAGTGGAAATTCCAGACAAACTCTGGCAAGATTCAAGAGGCCCCCCTGCACAGAAAGCCCCCATCGAGGACAGGAGAATGGATGGGCTGTGGGAAGACCAGTGTGGGGTTAAGCTGGAGAATCTGGATGGTGTCCACAGAGGAGGGCAGGAGGAAGAGGGGAAACCAGTGAGAGAAGGCAGCAGCCTGGGAGGAGGGAGACATTCGGCACCCTGGACACAGTGAGGCTGCCATATCCTTTTCCAACTGTGTGAGTTTCTGGAAGGACGAAAGGAAGGTTCTCCTTCTGTCCCCTCCGCCCGGCTACCGTGAGAAGCGAGAACTAATAATATGATGGAGACAAGTCAGGAGGTTCTTTGAAGGGTGGGAACCACTGTGTGGAATGTTCCAGAAAAGCCAAGGAGGATGCTTGAGGAAAAGGTGCATTGATGGACACGTCACTGGGACGCAGAGCTCCTTCAGCTACAGAGGAGCGCGGGCCAGCAGGTGCAGAAGGCAGATCACCAGCAGCGGACAGACTCGGGCTGAGACCCGAGGGCAGCTCATATACATACTTCTTAAGGAAATTGCCAAATGATCAATAAAGTCGAGAAAGGATTTTACGAAGGGATAGAGCTAAGTGTTCAGGGACGGGGGGAATGCACCCATGGTGTGGGCTGGGGGAGGTCCCGGGGCAGCAGGCAGGGAGGAGATGTTGCCCAATAGAGTAAGGCCAGGGTTCTCTGCAGCAAAGAATGCTGGGGGAGAAGCCAGGAGAAGCAGAGGGTTTCAGCGGTGAGGAGAGTGTGAAGGGGAGGAAAACCATTTCACCCAAATGGCCTCCATCAAGAAGGCTTAAAACCCATGTGACTCTGCTCAGCCGGCAGAAGAACAGACAGCCACACAGGGACCGGTGCAGGGTTCGATGGTTACCGCTACCCTCTGAACCAGAAGACGGGACCAGACTGATGCTTGATTGACTGATTGATTGATTGATTGATTGAATCAACGAGAATAATTCAGGTTGAGCGTTTTCACTAGACCCTGATTTCCCATAATGCGAGCTTCCAGAAAGATAACGGAGATTCCTTCCATTCAGCATCAGAGAACCCCTGGATAGTCCTTTGCTGGCCCTAGGACTTGGTTTTCCCTGACCCATCCCCCTGAATGCTCATCTAATTACCCCCATCAAGCAATATATAACAATTATCACTCAAGCAACACAAGTTCAGGGTAGAGGAGGAGAAATCAGGTTATTGATTTAAAAAAAAAAGAGAAAAACAAGCAAAGGTCACGTGGAACCCGTCACCCGTCATCATTAACATGGTGGTGTATATCCCTCCAGACACTTCTTTAGGCATCGGTGTATACTAATTGTTCCTTACGCTGCATGTTTCTAGTGACCATTAATTGTGGCATCCTGAAATGGGATGCTGAAGTCAGGATAAAGGTTAGGAACAAAGAGGAGTGTTTAAGTGAACCCTCTGGAGGCTGAGAAAGCTGGGCTTTTCCCTGAGTTAAGTCTTCCTAAAGGGCAAGGAGCTGAGCCGGGTGCACAGAGGTAAGAAGGGCTTCCCGGCAAAGAGGCCCCCACTGGGAAAGCATCGCTTGTAGGTGTGGAGCCCGGACGGTGGTCAGGGGCCTCGGAGGAGGACATCAGCTGGCGGTTTGGAGGGCCGTTGTGAGAAACGTGGCATATTTCTTACCACCGTCATAATGGCCAGGACAATTTTTCTGACAAAAATTAAGCCTAGGTGCCACCAGAGAAAATCAGGACCGATGTACTTAGAACACAGCAACCCATTTTTTGACTTCACATTGTGGGTTATCTCAGATGGGCTGAATACCTTCTATGTAAGAAGGAACAGCAGTCTGAAGCCCGGAAAGACAGGAGTCATTTTGATTCTGAATCTCCATGGAATTGAGAGAACAGTGTGAGCAGAAAAGTAAAATGGCATCCTCAATTACCTTCAAGCTTGAAAATAGTTATGAGATGCTTAATTTTTTTTTGCAAAGAGCTCTCATATTATTTTGGTGCCTTTTTATTTTAAAACACGGTTAGTAGCAGTGAGAGCTCCTGGGCTGATTTTCAGTTGTGGGTCTAGAATCCGTTGAGTGGGAAATAATCAGTCTCTTCCAAATCACAGTAACCCTACCCCCACCCCTACCCTGAGGACACAGACCCTAAAAAAATAATCAGATTATCTGATAGCCACTGAGTGACCGATCTGACATTTGAACCTATATGTTAAGAGGTATATGCCGAATGCATACCCCATTTTTTTAGAGGTGGGGGGAGAGAGGGCATGCATGAGCAGGGTAGAGGGGCAGAGGGAGAGGGAGAGAGAATCCCAAGCAGGCTCCACACTCAGCATGGAGCCCAACACAAGGCTCCGTCCAATGACCCTGGGATCATGGAACCCGACACAAGGCTCCATCCAATGACCCTGGGATCATGACCTGAGCCGAAATCAAGAGTCGAGCACTCGACTGACTGAGCCACCCAGGTGTCCCCGTGCCCCCATTCAAGAAATGTAACAGATGTGGCCCTGTTTGAACTCTGCCACTCATACCTGTTAATGTGCAGGGTCTCAGGTTCTCCTGGGCTGGGATTCTTGGACGCTCGCTGAGCATGCTTTCGGACCCCCACCCCATTATGTCACACCACGATCTCTCTTCCCAGTGTCTGCTGGGGCCGAGAAGCAGGTGCCAGGAAGTATAAGTAAATCCTACATAGTGAGGAGAGAGTCTTTTTCACCTGGAAGAATCCAGCACAGCTTCACAGAAGAGGACACATTTGCCTCAGACCTAAGAGGAATTTTCCACAAACGAAGATGGGAAAATGGAATTCTGATGGGAAAGAAGATGGGCACTTCCCCTCCACATTCCGGGCAGCTAGATGTCCCGACAAGCCCGTGAGGGGAGGCGGTAGGACTCAGGCTGGGAATCAGCTCTCAGAGCAAAGAAGGAACCAGAGCATAAGACAACAGGACCAAGCTCGGCATGGGGTGCCCCAGGAGGGGTGACTGAAACAGGAGAGCTTCAGCAGGCCTGCAGGCAGGGCCCAGTTTCTAGAATCATCCACACCCAGTTCGTGGACACAGCACTGCCTGCTCAGACGGGCCAGCTGGAACACTGCCCAGGTGGGTGGGCAAGGGGCTGGACCTTTGCTCGTAACCCAGGAAGGAGCCTGTGTGCCTTATCGTAGCCCAGTCACCAGGATGCGTGCACTTGTATTTCTAGTCTCAACAGATAAAGTGGGGCTGTAATTAACCAAAATACCATTCTTCTTTAACAGGTCGAAGATGAGGGGTGGAAAATGTCACCGAGTGTCTTTCTTCCTACGATGGAGGAAGGAAATAACGTATACAAAGGTTGGTTTAGGAGAATATACGTGTCACCCTGTCCACCCAGCATGACCCCCAGCCCTAGCACCCTGCCTGGGTGGGGAAGAATGAGGTGCTCAGTCATGAGAGGCTGAAAACATGCGGCTCATAGCCCAGATCTTCTGTCTGTCTCTACTGCAAAATTCCTTTGAGTCGCTTAAAAGGCATCGAATCAGTAAAAGAGCCAGATATGAATACCACGAGAACATAATCTCTAAACCTCCATGCTGGTTTTGAACCCCTGGGACTTCAGCTGAACGTCCTCTTGCTGGGAATGAAAGGGATTTGTCCTGGGCCGTTTCAATGAAGAAAATCAATACCATGTGTCCAGTAAAACGTTTTAATCCTGTTAGACCAAGACAGGTGCTCCAGAAACCCACACGTAATTCTTCTGTCCACTGTTCAGCCTAATTAGCCCAGCGATAATCTGACTAGACCTGCACCTGTATGAATTCGTCTTTCAAGCATTTCTGGTACAATCTACAAGAACAATTACCCAATTCCTTTGATTCCCCTCCGCCCTCAGGATGAATCCCAACACAGAATGACCCGTCAGCGTGACCCCGGTCACTGGTGCCCTTCGATAATCCCCGAAAAATGCAGTAAGCTTGTGAAGTCGAGTTTTTGCGAGCATCGGCCATGCCCGTGGTTCCTTCCCACTTCTGGTCTTGTCTGGACAGCACTGGTCCTATTATTTACTTACCACCTGTTTTTCATTGACTTGTGGTTTTTACCCTGCAATAAATTGAGCCTCATCCTGGCCAGCAACCCCAATGTCATTTCGGGTTGGAGATGCTAGTTACATGAAATAAAAACGTCCATGCGCCACCCGAAATTCTCTCACTTACCGCCAGTGGCGAGGGTCCCACGCCGCATGGGATGCTGAACGAAGGCGGAAGCTTGGGGGGAAAGGTGGCGTCCACAGGATTTGGCATCCACTTTAATCGGGGAGGAAGGAGGTCGAGGCAGTAGCCCCGTCATGTTATTAGGTGCCCAAGACACGCGAGGCTTTGTGTTTTCTGTGCCCTTCTCATCTTCTCTTCCCGACAACCAGGGGGAGCAAACAAAGCCATCACCCTGTGAGAAGGAGCCTCTGCTCCCCCCTCCCCAGTTTGAGAAGTCATCAAGTCCTTTACAAACCGCAGTGCAGAGCCATCACCATCAGAAACACCGGGCGTGGTGGAGGTGGATGGGTGGGGACAGTGGCCTAGGGCGAGCAGCTTCCGCAACTTAGGCCGGCAGCAGCAGCATCCAAGGCCTCGCTGGGGACCTAGGAAGCGCGCGCGTCACACTGCTGGGTCACGGGCCAGCTGTGGGTGCCACCAGAACTCAGGGTGTGTCTGCAACAGCAGCTGCTACTTGGGGCGGACGTCTCTTTTGGCCTTTATGCCACCCCCGCTGGTCCTACTCTGCATGTCTATCCCCAGCCTCCGAGAGCATTGTTCGCAACTTCCAACGCATCAGATAATTTGCCCCCTCGTGTTCTGCTGAAGTCCCCCCTCTTGGAGCCCTGTCACCTGTCATCCTGGGCCTCCCTTCACCTTTCCGGATTGTCACTCTCTCATTTTGGTGGAGCCCGCCCTTCAGGGTGTCTGGAGGAGGAGCTACCACAGGGCGGCTCTAGGGGCCAATACATCTAAATATGGCCTTACACTTACGCTCAGCGGGACCATTTCCCTCGGCATTTGGGAGGCCTGGTTCCCTTCTCCTCCGAAATTAACTATCAGGAGAAAATAAGGGGGAAGGAAAGGGAGGTGAGAGATAGCCAACCCCTCATCTGCCATAACAGGAGGTCAGGGGCTCAAGTCTGAAACTAATAAACCAAAAAACAGCAGTATGTGCACGTTACAGACACAGAACAACAGAGAAGCAGCTAGATGGCCTCGCACCCTCCTCTCGTGGGCCCTGTGCTCTGCCACCAGCAGGCCAGTCCCTCCCTCCCCAGAGACCTTGTGCCGGGGGTTCCCCTTGGCTGGAATGCTGGCCCCTACAAGGCCTTCCTTGAGCCCCGTGTCGGGTAACAGTCTCCAGCCTCACCCTGTCCCCAACCTGCTTTCCCTACCTCCGTCTGACGTGGAGGTGGGTGTTCCTTGTCTCCCCACAGGAGGACGCGGGTCCCAGAAGGCAGGGCCTTCCACCGTCTGCCCAGTCTCATAGCAGAGCCTGCCCCATAATCAGGCTCAGTCAAGTTCTGAATTAAATAACCTACGAGTAAATCACATTTGTGGATAAATCTGAATCTGTTCAACGCATTTTTTAAATGAAGGAATGAATGCCATTGGGCAGTGTCACCGGAAGGCAGGGTCAGACAGCTTTTTGTTTATAATCCTTTCCCTCTTCTCCGACTTTGTCTAAAACGATGTGGGTGTATGATTTTGATATAAGCAAACGTTAATATGGGGGAAATCGAACGTTGCCGCGGGAAGCCAAGTCTTGGTACCTGCCGACCCACTCAGGAAAGCGCTTGAGACTTTCCACACCGTTTGTGTGATATCTGTTTCCATGACGCTGTTTGGATAATATCTGTTTCCTCTAAGGCTGGGAAAAAAAAAAAAAGCCCAAGCCGTGGTCACTTGGGAGAGGAACCGTGAAGCCCCATTTTCCTCTCTGGATTTGTGGCGTTTCCTGTGACATCTGCCAGGTCTCTGGTAACTGAAAGAAATTCAATGTCTTCATCTTAGAATTCTTTTCTCAAAAATCAAAGGTTTTCCTTTTCAAATAAAACATTAGCATTTTAATCACTGCCCACCCCCATGTGAGAAACTGCACCCGACTGCTTTTCACATTCCCAGGATGAAAGCTCTTGGGGCAGTTGTTGTGCTCTGAGGGCCCTGAATAGCTTCCTGCATTTGTAAATGTCCATGAAATTCTTGAAGGGATTGAGAGTGCCCTGTGCAAAAGTGTCATGAGAAAAGCAAAGTTTCTGTGCAAAACCAGGACCATTCGAATGGCGGTGGAGGTGAACTCGGCACTAAGCGCCCGTTTACTTGTGAACCACAGTTACAAGCCCAGAATGAGAATTTGTTACGAGGTGCCATTGCTTTTTCATAAATAATCACCTCGTGTTCCTCTCTGTTCAATATTCTATGTCTCTTTCTTTAGTTAACGCTGCTGCTCCCAGAGTTTAGTAAGCCTGTCTAGTGAAAAAAAGCACAGTAGCCTCCTGGCGATAACAAAGCTATTTCGCTTTAAAATGTCTTAATGAAACAGGTGAGTTTTGTTGTTGGAGATTTAATGATCGTGCGAGGGGGACCCCCGTGAGACAAGAGTTCTCAGTGGTTGGCACGTTTTGACACATTTAAGCCTCTTCTAGGACTTTCAAGGGGGAAAGTTTGCAATTTCAAACACTTACGAAGAAGCATTGTATATTCTTACATTTTGAAGCTTTAAGCTCATGAACATTTCAGAAAATGCACCGAGAAGGAACAGTTACCTTCAGATGAAGAAGTAGATGTGCCTTGGGCACACACACACACACACACACACACACGCCAGCCACAAAACCCACCTTGTAGGGAGGTCGGGGCTAAGAATAAACTTCCAAATTAGGACCGACTGAAAACAACAAAACACGTCAATGGGCTGATTTAGATCACTTATGCAATGCGTATTTTTCATTCCCTAACTGTAAAACGCAGGATGGGCCTCTTGGGCTGGCACTCAGTTGCAGGATTGATTATTTAAAACAATATGGGGCGCCTGGGTGGCGCAGTCGGTTAAGCGTCCGACTTCAGCCAGGTCACGATCTCGCAGTCCGGGAGTTCAAGCCCCGCGTCCGGCTCTGGGCTGATGGCTCAGAGCCTGGAGCCTGTTTCCGATTCTGTGTCTCCCTCTCTCTCTGCCCCTCCCCCATTCATGCTCTGTCTCTCTCTGTCCCAAAAAATAAATAAATGTTGAAAAAAAAATTTTTTTTTAAAATAAAACAATAAAAGCTCAGCTCCTAGCTTTCCAGCAACTTCCTGTGTGCCCACTGCTGCCACAAGTGGCCTCCGTCAGTCTGTTTTGGGTCTTCTCCCTCTTGGTCTTCAAAGGAGTGTGAACTCGGTTCCAGGCTGGTCACCTGCCCCGCCCGGGTGATGACATCCCACGATGTCCTCACCTCTGGGGTCACCCTCTGCCGGGCAGGCATCCGGGAGACACGTGCCAAAACCCGTCCCGGACCCATCACTGCTTGCCGTCATCTCTGCTCTAAAAGTAGGGCCACCTGTCACACGGCCACCCTGATGGGGAAAGACATCGAGGTGACTCAGCTCTGTGAAAACTATTCCATCTGTGTGACTTAGTTCTTGTCTATCTCCTGCACGTCTACAGTAGCCACCCCAGAAGAAACTGGGGTCTTATCGTCACCCTTGTTTTCCAAAGTCTGTCCCCCCAAACTTGCAGAATGCGTGGCAAGACCCTGGCCAGCCAGCGACCGGCAGAGTCGTGCCTGTGCACTCCCCTCGATTCCCAGGTGGGAGGCTGGGAAGGCTAAGAGCCCTTGCTGGACCCGGATTCCAGACAGGCTCTGCTCTGGCCCATGCTCTGTACTCCCACCATACAGCCAGGGAGTGTGGTGGGCCTGCCCAACCTGCTCATGACATCTTGCGGTGACCATTTCTGCCTCCAGAAGTGTCCACGCCAACCGCTGGGAGCATCGCAGGGTCTCCAGCCTGGGGCTAACACACTTGGAAAACTGGAGCTGCGTTTCCCTGTCCCATCTTCCTGTACACTTTTCCCGTCCGCGGGGTCCCGACTGATCGCTTTGGGACAACACGTTCACTGGCCCTCAGGCCTCCATCGCTCCCGCTTAGCTCTGGGCACAGTTGTCCTGCAAGGTCCGTCTCCCCTCAGGAAGTAGGACTTGTCGATAAGGCGGACGAAGAGCCAGTGAGTGGTCACGTGGGGGTTCCACTTGACCCGCCACGAGGCCCGGACAGGCACGGGTCAGACAAAGCCCTCGGGCAATTTTTTGGCCCCTTGGCCAGATTTGAGTCATGGGCCAACGTGTTCTGGCCCTGTTGTCCTTCTCTTCAGGATCTGCAGCTTTTGCCGGGTCCCACCGCCGTGTCCTTCCTTCGTCTCTCACCTCTTTGGCTGACCTCGGGCCCCTGTGATTCATTTGACTCCCTTCTCATTGGTTTGCCCAGGTGTCTCTCTAGGCACCTGCTCTGCCCTCTGTCTTCATGGTTGACACCTCTTGGTCTCCGCGGCACCCAGACATATGTTCCTGTCTGTGACTGTGACTGTGACTGTCCCTCCCTTCTCAGGCAGCTGCGTCAGGGGGACACCCCCCAGGCAGGCTCAGGATCCCCAGTCTGTGCCCAGAGGGGAGATGGAGGTTGGGAAGGTTTCTCAGCCTCTGCCCATTCATTCACACCCTCACCCGCCCACACGGGCGCCTTTCTCCCCACATGGAGCCATCACCTGACCCGTGTGGGGAAGCCTCCGTCTGGCCCCCGGGGCCCTCAGCTGACTCCCCAAGTTGAAGGGCATCTCAGGCCAGGTTCTGGCAAGTTTCCATCACATGCTGAACACAGATCCTGGGACGAGACCTTACTTCCCAGACTGACCGTCTCAGCTCCCATGGGGGGAGCCCCCCCCCACTGCCCCAGTGCCAGGATCCAGCTGACCTGCACACCTCCGCACACATCTGGAACTCCCCCTCTGAGAAGTGGGCTTCAGCTCAGCTTATGCCAATGATACTAAATTATCCTTATTTCCTCTAAGGTCACATTTCTCCAGTTATCCTCTTGACTCTCAGAACAAGGCAAAAAGGAAACATAAAACACATATGATTTCCAACACATCCAAAAAGTAATTCAAAATTATAACCCTTCAGGGGACAGTCATGGGTGTTTGTACGTTCAGTGTTGTCTTTTAACAAGGGGCTGGGGTAAATCACTCACAAGTTCAGCTAGCAATAAAATCTTTCGTGTTTTAGGGAATTGTTTGAATAATGAAAGTAATCTAAAACATATTGCAAAAACAGGCATCCCACATTTGCATAATTGTATAATCCCACAACTAATATATTGTTTATTACATGGTTATAATCATTAGGAGAATACCATTGCATCGTACTTTTTTATTTTGTATGTTTTCACATTAGCAGTTTTCTTCTTCCTCTTTTAGGCATCATACGAGCACGTTTTTCCCATTTGCGAAGTGGAAGAAAAGAACACGGAGCCGCATCACTCTCCCATCAATAATCTCTTGATTCTTCTATTCGAACTTGTGTTCCACGCAAGAGGATAGAGAATTAAACTTGTGTTTTATATTGCATTAGCCGTTTGTCACCCATCCTCATGTTGAAAAAAAACAAATTCCTTTTCTTTTCCTTTATCCTTCTGGATTACAGACATGTGGAGGAACAGAGACGAGTCGTGGAATTTCCCCCAGGACCATGACCCGGAACTGATCAAACAGGAGAAACGGAAGGAGCTGGAGTCAGAGATCAGAATACAGGTAACACGGCACTTACGTTGCCAGAAGACACGTCAGCAGAAGAAAAGCCACAGGGCTTTTTCACAGTTTCCTATCAATGACCGACCCAGATTTGACGCTATTTTTAAACTACACAAGGCACACAGTCGCTCGAAAGTGGCGTATTCTGTCCTCACCCAGGTGGACGAGCTGATGAGGCAGGAACTGAAAAACTTGAAACTGGCCGTGAACAGAGAAAAGGAGCAACCAGTCAAAGCAGGGAAGAAGAAAGGAGGCAAAAAGGTGAGTAGGAGCGAGCACGGGAGGGCTGAGGCGCAGACAGATTCAAACCAGGCCCAGGAGGGCTGTCCAGGCGCCCGGTGCTGAGTCCCGGGTGCCACCTGGCACACCGGCCGGGCCCGGGTGGCCGTGCACGGAAACGCCTTCCTTGGGTGGCTTTGCCTCATTCCACCACGCGGCCCTCGGGGATACGGGTTCTTAAATGGGATAAATCCAGCAGTCTGAGAGTGACCCACCCTGCCCCTCCCCGCTGCAGATTCACGTTCCCCAAACCCCACAGATATAACGAGGACCATCAGGGGAGCCAGCGATGGGCCCAGATCTAGGGGAGACCAGCGGCAATGAGCAAGCGCTTTGGGAGCAGGGGAATCAGGTGAATTCAGTGTTAAAGTGCCAGCAGTCCATCTCCCAGCGTTTTGTTGGAGTAGCCAGTTAGATCCCCATATTCGACGTTCATTTCCTAGGGCCCTGTGAGATCATAGAAAACATATATATGCATCCCTACCTCCGGCTCCTGGCACAGAGCTCCTGAAGCCATTGTAACTCTGAAGTCATGAGAGCACTTAAAACATCTTTTGTTCTATTGAGACAACTCTGGGTGAGCTCCTGGGTGGCCCCTCTCTGGGGGCTGGTCACCGGGAAGACCAAGGCAGGATGAGAAGCTTAGAATTTGCAGCCCCAACCCCCCATCCTCCAGAGAGGGCAGAAGGGCTGGCAATGGAGTTAATAATGAATCATGCCTGGGTGAGGAAGGCTCCGTGAAATCCCAGTAATGTCAGGAGGGTAAACACGGGACCATACCAGGGGGTTGATGCATCCCGACTCGCTCCTGCACTCAGGACCCTGCCCGACCTCACCCTACGTACCACTTCATTTGGCTGTTGGTCTGTACCCTTTCTCACATCCTTTGATAAGCCGGTAGACGTCAAGTGTTTCCCTCAGTGCTTCGAGCCGCTGTAATAAATTAATCAAACTTGAGGAAGGGTCACGGGAACCTCAGATTTATAACCAGTGGGTCGGAAGCACAGGGGACAACCCAGACTTGAGGCCGGCGTCTGCTGCGGGGCTGGGGGAGTGGTCGTGTGAAACCGAAGCCATTTCTAAGTAGTGTCAGACCTGACTCAAATTGTAGGACACCCGGCTGGCGTTGCTTGGTGGGGGAACCCCACACACACGCATCTGGTGTCAGAAGTGTTGTGCATGTGGCAGTCACATGAGAATGAAGGAGACACATAGGAGGGAAGAACTGGCCTTTTCCTCACCTAGACCCCTACTTTGACTTTCATCCCAAATCCAGCCCTGCCACCGGGGCCAGAACCCTCCAGGGGCAGGCCACACTTGCCCTCCCTGGCCATGTCCACAGGTGCGTAGGCAACCTTTGCCCCCGTGATGGCTTTCTCAGGGTTCTCCGGCTCCTCGGCCCTTCTTGTGATTCACAAACTGTCCTGGAGCTTTTCACACATCCAGCTACACGAGTGGCTAGTTCCTCCAGCCCCTTGAGGATGACGCTCTCCTGATCCGTCTTGTGTTGACTTTACAGTTTCACAGTTTAACCTTGACTTTTCAGTGCAACGCCTGAATGTCCTTCATGGCCCTCTTTGAGGATACATCCCTGAAGCCGGAGAGGTCACTGTCTATTGGTCTCATCAGTAGGTGAGGGCACTGACTGAGGAGACCATGGACTCTAGTAATGCCTTGAATACCTGCATGAAAAAGTGATGTTTTAGGGGTGCCTGGGTGGCTCAGTCAGTTAAGCCTCCAACTTTGGC